CTATACTCACCTGATCTAAACCTTTTGAGGTGGGGGCTTTGGTAGCAGTAAAAGCCTTGAAAGGACGGGGAATCTTGAACCGAATGCTTCCCCCCTATAAGAAATCACCTCCTATTTGCAACAAAGATTCTTGTGTGTAGTTTAATGGATTCTCAGAGGGGTGCATCTGTGTTGCAAAAGGAACAGAAGTGTAGGGATTAGTCACCAGAGTTCAAGATGCTTTTCGTCACTGAGGGAAAATTTCATATTACAGTTGTTCCGGATTGAGACTACTGGGAAATGTGTAAACCTTCCTTAAAGAAAATGCCAGTTTTTACATTATAGGACGTTACTTTCACTTTTATAAAATTTTGGTGTGAATTTTAAATTACACTGCAAAACTATGTGTCTTTACTAAGTGCTTACAATAATTATTTCTATTGTATCTTTATATTAATGTTATGTCCAAAAATTTTTCAACTATTTGATTATTTCCTTGGATAATTTAAAATTTAACCAGTCTTTTTTTTTTTTTTTTTTTTTTTTTTAACTGTTAAATGTCCTGTTTTGGTATATATTCTTTGAACTTTTTTCCATACAGGGAATAATTAAAAAATAAAAGCTTAAAGCTATAGAAATGATTAAAAATTAAAGTTCAGTGGAACTGTTAAAATTATGCTCTATATGTGTAATGAAATTTTAATTTTACATAATTGTTCAAATCTGCTTGATAACATATTACTGAAGGAGGAAACTTTCAGCAAATTAGAATATAATTGGTTTAATTAAAAATAATTTTATTTTATTGTAGATTGTTAGTATTGCAATGTCCAACTACATAAGTGCTACTAATTAAAATTCAGTTCTTTTTCGAAAATTAATGCATAGTAAAACAGACACTCAAAAGCTATTTTTTAGAATATTTTAGTTTTAAAAATTTGGGAAAAAAAAAAAAAAGAATATTTAATCATGTATCGTTTTATACTGTTTATTGAAAATTAGTAAGTGATATATTTCAAGTATTAAGAATAGAATGAATTTAAGTCGTTAAAAGTCAAATTATTTAGTATGTAAACCCATAATTCAAAACGTAAATTCCATTTGTCTTTTTTTTTTTTTTTCCATTTGTCTGAAACTAAATTCCCAGCCTTACTAAGGAAACGTGTTCACTCGGGGTATCAAAATTTAGGTAATTTCTTAGTGCAAAGAGCTTTTCAAATTGAAGAGAAAATTGCTTGTTATGCATAGTGTCTGCAAAAACTGTGGAACAAAAGTTACGCGATAATGAGTTGTTGTCTTCAGTACTGTATTATGTTATTCTATATTATGCTACATAATTTAGCACATTAAGAGAAATTTCCAGATAATTTCAGGTGCCTGGTCAGCAAAATTTTCTCCTGTTTGAAATCGTCGTCCCATGTGAATTTTTCTTATTTCCTTTGTTGTTTAAACCAGTTCGTTTCAACTACAGACTCTCTTTATAGCAGCTGTGACATCAACCATGGTGGCATATTTTATATGGTGGAATTTAAATTCTACGATATATTAGCAAGTATCTTTACTTGCAGTTACTAAAAAAATCTTCAATGTCAGGCCATGCGAAATCTATACTGACACAGTTGAATTAACAGTTTTTCTCTTTTTTTTATTGAAATGAATGACAAAGGCATTCAATCACTTAAAAGGTCAAGGTTCAGAAATTCAGATGATTGAACATTAGAACAATGATTTGTACATTATTTGAGAACTTTTACATCCTGTTTGTATTCTCAGAGCTCAACGGACAGTGAAATTTCACAAATGCTACTCTAATCGATTCTGAACATCTTACTTCAAAATTATTTGACTGTGAAATTGAGACACTGATACGGAGGTACCTTTTAAAATAACATTACATCTGGAATCTAATGGCTAGAGATGACCTTTCAAACTGATTGACTAGTGTTTAGTATATTTACAATTCCAGGTTTCAGACTGAAATTGTAAAACTATTGTTGTTTCTTTAACACAAAATTTATATTTATGTTCTTTTGATTTGTTTGAATAACAGTACTATCACAGTAAACTTCCGTTGTGAAGGTCACTTCAGCATAAACAGATATAAATGGAAATAAAGTCAGACAGAACTGTTAAGAATAAACTGATAAGAATGTAAGAAAAAGTGCTTGTACATGTATACAAGTACGTGGGAATTTATATTTGTTTATGGAAATGTATACTACATATCCATGTAGTATGTATGTCTGCATTGATATAATATGGTATAAGTGCAGATATGCACATAAAGTGGAAAGCATGCGTACCCTTAAATGGCAATAACGTATATATAGACACGTACATGTACACACACAGATGCATTTATATATATGTGTTTGCGTGTGGATTTATGCATACGTGTATAACATACAGATATATGTATGTGTATATATTTCATCATCAAGCTCTTGAAGAAGTTTACGTATTCTTAATTTTTGGCATATTGCAAGAAAAATGTCAAAATAATTCCTAAAAAACTCACGAAAGTATGCAATATTCTAAAGCAACACAAGGCTCTGTTTACAATTTACAAACACAGTTATTGCGAATTCTGTAGCTATGTAGCTACAAGAACTAAAAGGGAAAAATTGGAAAAAACCGGATTCTTAACACAAAGACCTTTGAAAGAGATAAGTGGTTAAAACCCCCAGAGACGTCAAATTTGACATTTCACCCCACTCTTTCAGCCTGAAAAATGGGCGGTAAAAGACATGGCCACTAAAGTGGATAACCCTGTCATTTCAAACAGAGGATTCTATGGCCATTATAATGGCCATCCCATCTTCAAAAGGTTAATCTCATTTAGCATCTTTAGGAATGGCAAGGATGGCTTTTTTAAAAAATTTTTTTAAACATCTTGAAGTATGTTTGACTTGTTTTATTGTTTTCAGTTCATGGATTTTTTATGTCCTGACATATTAGAAAAAGTCTACCACTTATAACAAATATTTGTTCCAAGCCTCATGCTCAAGCAATGAATAATTATATCTTGAACATTTAATGATCTTTTTTATAAGTGCATAGACTCCATGTGGCAATAATTCTTGATCAAATGTTATCACAGTAAATTTTTCTCCCTAGCAGCTGGCACGGCCATTTTGAAAAGCTTATTTTAAATATAAGATTTTACATTGTGTATCTTAAACTTCTGGGTGGATGAATTTTTAAATTAAAAGTTTCTATACTGCCTATCATTGAGTATTTATCTTAAAATCGTTTCAGGTGTGATACTGGTCTAGGTACTGGTATCAGAGTGCAGCTTTTGTTTAATCTGAAGATTTTTATCTTTTTTTGAAATTTTTATGGCATGTCTTTTGAATTGTTCATCTAGGTTTTAATCTAAAGATTTTGGATTGCATTTCCCCCATATTTTTAAATATTTTTCATCATACTAAATATGATTAAAGATTAATAAATTTTATAGTTTATACATATAGAGCTGTTAATTTCTTTGGAAGGCTGGCTGGCAGATTAAGTTTTTTGGTTGGAAAAAAAAATTTTTTTTTTTTTTTTTTTTTTTTTTTTTTTTTTTTTAAGAATAATGTGAAATAAAATGCTTGTTTTACAGAAAACTGGGTACTCATTGGTCATTTTTAATATTTGCATGTGATAAGTAATAAATGATAAAAAATATTTGTTAAAATCTGAATCTCCAAAATACTTGGTTTGATTTTAACAGATTACTATTTGGTAAAAGGGGTGAAAAGTGTATTTCTTTATTAATATATGTATCTAAAGTAATTATGTTTTCATTGTAATAAAGAATTTGAAGAGTAATTAATTATTTTTCAGACAGAATAATTTTTCAGAATTTCCATACCATTCAAATTCATTAATATATTTGCAGAATAATTCAAAGAAGTATCATGTAGTATGTTTATTTCAAAATCAGCATCTGAATTTAAATAATTTTGTCATTAGTTAGATAGATAAAATCTATAAGTTATTGACTTTATTATTCATTGTATCCATATTTCATAGGTTCTATGTTAACAATGCAAACAGTTTTGTTTGTCTTTCAAGAGTCTGAGTAAATTCTCATAGTAATACTATATTGTTACTAACCTATATTTTTCTGCATATGCTGTGTAATAAAGTATTCTTTATTTTAAAACTTGTGCTGGATAGCATAATAAGAGAAAATTAAAATGTAACTTGTTTATAAATGGTTAAGAACTGCAAAATTTTAACAAAAAATAATGTACTTGATGAATTTGAAGATTATATTTTTTTATTGCTATTTATTTTTTAGATGTCTTGAAATAATTTGTAAAAGAATGTGATTGTCTTTCAAAAATCATGCTCTATGATCTAATGTTGATCAATGGATCAAGGAAAATTGTAGAATTGAAGCTGGTTTTTTTTTTTTTTTTTTTTTTTCTTTGCTAGTTGTTTTGTGTGTTTTAAGTTATGAGTAAATGTCTTCACTATGTTGCAACCTGTTCAATGACCTGGCAAAAGACTGACCTACATATAAGTGATATGACTGTGGAGGGAGGAAGTAAAGAAACACTGAAGAGAGGAACTGCCCAGGTGAATGGTTGCAAAACCAGAATTACCTGTTATGCTAGTGAACTTCAGAGTTGACTGGGGAAGATATTGTTCTTTTTCCTATCTACTTTCCAAGTGGTAGCACTTGTTGTTTTTGCTTATGAGATGTTCCCATTCAAGATTTATATCCTTATTTTATATAGCATTTTTTTATTTAGGCATTTAATTTTGTGCAATTCATTCATTATGCCTTAGATTTTTGAAGTAAAGCATTAAATCAAAATGCAAAAATTCAGATAGTAAATGCAAAATGGGAATATCTCATGAGTGATTATAACAAGTGTTACCATGTGAAGCCAGATTATTCAAGTCTTGAAATATTTGTTTTAAAAAAAAGTTTTACTTTTATTGGTTGTGGGCTAAAATTTCTTGCTTTTATCAAATTATTTTTTCTTATGCCTGCTACGATTTAAATTAATATTCTTAAATTTTAGGTACTGTTTTTCAAATAATGCCAAATTCTGCAATTTTAACAGTTTCTGCAATGAAAAAAGTACCAAATACTGATACAAGTAATGCTACAATAATCTTCAAAGATTCTTCAGCATCTGCAGAATCTATAAATGCTCAAAATTCATTATCAGTGCCTAATTTATTAGTGGAATCGGTTGAAAATGCTCAGTCTCAAAGTGCTGAAGTTCCTGTGGGTTCTGAAGGCAATATTTCAGATATTGACCTCAGTTTTTTGAATGAAACAGAAGAGTCTGTTACCATTCCTGATTCTAAAAGTCTGAATGAAAATGCTGTCAAAGAATTTCAAGGATTGATTCCAGAAGTCTCATCTCATTCTCTAGATATCCTCCAAAGTAATCTTAATAATATTTCTGCTGCAAGTAAAGACCAGTTCACTGCAGAACCAGAAAGTAAGTTTTTGAGTAGTGTTTTTTTTTTTTTTTAATACCTTTCTTATTCTGTGTTAAGTCAAAAAAAGGGAGGAAAAAAAATTTTTTTTACTATGCATTGCATCCCTTTTGTCTATGATGCTGTATTTCACTTGGATGGAAGTTTACAATAGCAAAAATATTTTAAATGTATTTATTATGCATTTTCTCTTTATAATCTGTATACAGGGCTGGTGCAAGAGCTGGTGTAGCCTGTGTAGCTGCACCGGGTATGAAAATTTAGGGGTTGGCAAAGTTTTAGAGTTTACAGATGCAGTGCATGGCAAAATTCAGGAACAAATATTGCACCTAGTGGTGAAAAAAACCTAGCACTGTCTTTGCCTGTATAAGAATTTAAACTTGTTATATATGTTTCAAAACTATTGTTTTTGATGTGAGAAGCTATTTTTTTTTAACTTCCGATAGCATGACTATTGGATTTGTGAAAAAAGTTATATTTCAGCTAATATAAAAGGGTTGCTTATTAGAGGCAGCATACTTTTATCTCATGTTAAGCTGAAATTGTGTGAAAGGCCTAATCAGTTTGAAAAATTAGTGTATTCTTTTAAGCTGCTAAATTAGGAGCAGATCTGTAAATAATGCTTTTATTTCACTTATAAAATTTTGCTAATTAGTAATAAACAAATAAATTGTTTTAAAATTTTTAAAAAGGAAAAATGTCATGAAGTTCTTTTCTGAATATCTGTTCAGTATGAATAAAATTGTATAAAATTAATTAAATTTTACTACAATATTGTGTTATTGATTGAAAACACATTACTGGTTACCTATTGCAATTAGGTTTATTCAAATGTAGTTTGTTATTTTGTATCTGCATGCCAGTTGTGAAAAAAAGTGAGATATTGTATTACTAAATATTTTATATAAACTCAGTACTGCAAAATGAAAATATAATGGAGTTCCTTGTTTGTTCATAAGATTATATTGTTATTTTATAGCATTTTATGTTTATTTATTTGGCTATAATGTGAAAAAGTGTGTTTTATACATACTTACTTTAACCCCAAAAAAGTTGTTTTCTGAAATGTTTTTAATATTGTCTCTATTCCAGAATGTTTTTTTGTACTGCTTGGGTTTTCCTAAGAGTAGAGCAGATTGTTGAATGTTGCTAAGAAGTTTATCTGAGCATAAAGTTAGATGCTAGATGTATATTTTATTCAAAAATGGAGTGACGTAACGTTCCATATGCCTGAAGTAGGTTTCTGTGAGAATAGAATAAATTGCCCTTCATTAGAGGTTGTTCGTGCTGCAAACCGGTTCTTAGCCTTTGACCGTGTCATAAGAGTTCAGAAATACTTTCATAAGAGTTCAGAAATACTTTCTTTGTGGCACACCCATAAGTAGATTGTAAGCATGCAAAAAAGTGCATATCCTTCACGTCCTTTTTTTTTTTTTTTTTTTTTTTAATTCAAATTAATTCCCACTAAAGGCTAAATTATGAATTATTAAAATAATTCAACTAATGTTCAGTGTAAAATCAGTGTTCCTTATAACTGTATATTTGAAAAATCAATAAAATTTTATTAAAATTTCTTTAGGTGTCTGTTTTTCAAATGATAAAAACTACTAAACATACTATAAGACAAATAAAGAATACTTAAGTATAATAATTATTAGATGGAGATACTTAAGTATAATAGTTAAAGCATGTATAGGAGTACTAGACTCTTTTTAAAGGTGGTCTAATGCAGCATTTTTAAAATAAAAAATTTAATTAAAAATTTCATTGTTGTAGTGTATGACATAGTCATTAATTTTGATTGGCATTTTAGAGCATTAGGTTATCCTCCATGATTTGAAGAATCTGATTCATTGTTCTAGGCGGATGGCTTCAAGTATTTTGCTATTATTGATTAACTTCTGTTCTTTGAAAAAATTTGGGTACTTTCTGATTATCCTCCTTCCCTCAAAAAGTTACCAACTCATTGCAGACTAATTTTTTTATAAGTTAATATGCAAAAAGCAACAGTCGTTTTGAAAATAGTGGCAAGAATTTTGTAAAAGCACAATAAATAAATAATATTAATAAAACAAGAAACAACCATAATAAAACACTCAAGAAATCCTTATACAACTTCTTTTGAACTTTTGTTCTCCCCATGAACACAGAAATCTATTTTCATTAAAAAAAAAAAAGTCAGAGAATTGCACAAATTTGGTATTATGCTTGAACTCGGCATTGCAAACCAATTGTCCTTCCGATGTACACGGTAATCTGTTTTTTGCTTAAAAAAAAAATAAATAAATAAATTAAAAAAAAAAAAAAAAAAAAGGAGAGAGACAGAAAGAGAGAATGTGCTCTGATAAAATGCATCACTTCCTTTTTCATCTGCTGGTAAAATACACAGTCCCCTTGTTATTCATAACAAGGGGCGAAAAGTTACTTGGTGCAAAAATAAACTAGTAAGTTAGAAGAATGACTTTCACATTTTGGAGATGGAAATCTGCATATGCTTGAAACACATGTCTGTTGCACTTATACCTGAGTTGCCAATTATTTTTAGGCAATATCATGAATTGCCACATAATTGTTTGGGAACATAGTGCATTGCCTCATGGAAACTTTTGATGGTAGAGGAGATAATCAGAATTTTTTTTTAATGCAAGGTTTTAATTTTTTAAGACAAAGGGAAGAACAAGATATGGGAAATAAAATGTATTGGTTACAGGATTACATTATTTTCTGTATGAAAAAAAACTGTATCTTGTAATTTTTTCTTTATATCAGCACTTTTTAATAAATTTTCCAAATATATTTTGAGATTACTGATAAATACTTTGAAGAATTCAGAAACCTAAAAACAATTCTTGTCTGTTTTGTTTACTAAAGCTGCAGTTTGGGCAAAATAAAAGCCTGTTATGAAAATTATTTTTTTGCAAAATGTATTTCATTCTTATTTGAAAGATAACATGAAACATTCATTTAATATGCATGCAAAAACCATAAAGTGCTTGAGTATAATACTATGCAAATTTTAATTAGCTTTTTTTTTCCCCTCATCTCTTTCTGTGCTATATTAGATACTCCAAGTGATGTTGTGATGATTGATGTTAGTAAACCTATCCAACTTTCCCAAAATTCTTTGATTATGGTAAATGGTCAGAAATGCGTTCTGCAGCATGATGCACAGACCGGCCAAGTTGTTGCTTATCCTGTTAGAGAACAAGAAAAACCACGTCGCAGAAGAGGAAGGCCTCGGTAATACTAGCACCTCAGTAATAATTAAAATATCTAAGCTTAAGATATTTGATATGTTAACTGATCTGACTAAATAAACATTTAAATTCTTGCTGGGGATGACTGAAGAAAAGATTTAGTGAAACATATTTCTTACTGTAGATTGTATTAAACTTTAAACTCTCTAAAATGCTTAGTATCTCATTTTATGAATGTATATTTATGTAATATACACACAGACGGTTGTGAATATCAGTTGTGAATCATCCTAATAGATGATTCTGCATTCTTAAGTTATGGATTTCAGAGATAAACTAAGAGAGAGTTAATATTATTTATATTTAAAAATGCTTCTTAAAGGGAAGTAAGTTTTTGAGATATTCATGATAATTTGCTTTGTAACAAGTTAATGGTAATAAAACAATTGGAAATATTTAAGCATTTTTTTTTTTTTTATAAATTATTAAGAAAACAAAAATATTCTTAAAGACTAGAAGAATGGAATTTATTTTTGTTATCTTTTTAATAACAGCTTTAAGCATCATGAGATGAGGTAAGAACAAAAGTTCTAATAGGCTGCACAATGATGAATTCCTTTTTACAACCAAATTTTGAGAAAATAAACTTGGCTTAAATTTTCTATCTTAACTTTTTAAAGCCGGCGGTACAGCAGTCGTACCAGGAAAATGACTGTTTTTAACGCCGGTAGTGGTACATTTGTCGTACCAGTATCCCTCTCCCTATTTTAGAGAATTTCCTATCTGTAGATCTCTGGGTGGTCGATTGTCGCTGCTCAGAATAAGTACTGGCTACTGCTCAGAATAACCACTAGCTACGCATTGCTTCCCTCATCTTATCAGTTTGGCTACATTTTGGCAAAACCCACAGGTTTCGTCTCAAGCCAACATACTTGAAAATCAAATAGAAGCTATCTCTTTCTCAATCTCCTGTCTCATAATTTTAATGCTATTTTTTTTAGTACTGACTTTTGCTATGATTAAAACGTCAGCGATTTTGCACGCTCTTTAAGCTTACCATATTTAATGTTCTTTAATCATAACAAATAAGAATAGATTAATATTTTAGATTTAATGCCCTTCTAGAAAATAGGTAAAACCGTTTTTATCGTTTACTCGTTTACTTCCTTTTCATACTTATGAATAATAAGATTTTATTTTGACATTGTTTGTTGGAGTGCATAAACCCTTAAGAACTGTCAACTCTTTCAAAGTGCTTCTATTATGCAGGCAATTTTGTCTGATTTATCAGGAGATAAATAAGAGACAATTGTATGCATAATAGTTTTTCTGATTTTCATTCATTGTTGAAATTAAATAAAATCAATTTATCTTTACACCCCCTCTTTAGGATGAGATCTGCCAAAAAATATTTAAATATCAGTAAAGCTCACGTTACTTCTAAACTGAATCAAAACATCAGTTAAATGTTATAAAATTTTGGCCAGTTTTATTTGCTGAAATTCTTATACTCTTCAAGAGATAGAGAGAGAATTCAGACAAGTTGATAAAAAAATATCTTAAAAAAGTTTGTTATTTTGTCTGTAATAAGGTGTATGTCAACTTACTACTAAATGTATGAAAATTAGGATTGGATTACGGAAAAGCACGCGAACGCTATCTGCTTAAGGGAATGGATGCTTTCGTGTAAACCTTTTTAAGAGAAAATTGCTCGCATTTACATTCCTGGTGGAAAACTCCACATGTAATCAACCCGTTCTTCGGTATTGATTGGATTAATTTGTTCGCTTACTGAATTACATCAAAGCACCCAACGATTACCTGTATAAGGGGAGTTATGTCTTCGCGGAGGACTTTCTAAGAGAAGCTGGCTTGCATTTACGTTACACAAAAACCATGAATCCAACTATTATCCGGGATTCAAATCCAAGCGAGCTATAAGTGTTCAGCCACCTTTACCGCTTTACTGAAGAGCAGGTAAAAATATTGATAAAGGAAAAGTATTGAATTAACCGGTTTAATTTACTAACCTATATTTCTCAATCGACAGTACATAAATTACGCATATGAGGGGGATTATTTGTGAATAAATAAACTGTATTGCACTTTTATCCCACTATGTCATATTACAATGGAATTATTGCATTTCAAAGTTATTTCTCATGAATTAATTTTGCTCTTCATGATTTTTGATATTTTCAAAGAGAAAATTCCACACTTTAAATAAAAATATACACGAGAAGATACTTTATGCAAAATTTGGCGTAAACGGTTTTCTTAATTTTGCTTTGAAAATATTGCAGGGTAATCGTTTTCATTACTGGAAGAAATATAAAAAACAAATTTACTACATGGTATCAACACCCAATATTTCCTTATTCTTTTGAAAACGTGAAAGATTACTCTTTCTAAAATAAATTGGAAAATATATTATGTGCAAATAGAATATTCGTTGAAAATGAAATAGACTTCAACTTTTGGATATAACGATAGTTTTAGACGAAATTTCTACCTATGGAAAGAAATTGACGTATAATTAATTCTTCATGAACATTTAAAACTGTTCTCAAAATTCTTTTGATGATTGCATGTATAAGTCACGAATTTTTTTCTCGGCTAACATAAACAAAAGCCAATTTTACAAAGAAAAATTCTCGTTAAAGATATACCTTCTTTGCCTGATAGTCCAATGTAATATTTGTTAAAATTAATTATTAAACGCAACCAATGTATCTCGGATTTTGATTTTTATATTATAATAACAAAATTATCGAAAAAAGCAGATTTAAATCTCTGTTATTGTTATGTAAAGCTTTATTATTGCTGTAAGTTCATCTCAAAATCTATTTGTATTGAATCTCATTCTAATCATCTAATGGTAATAAATATTATTATTATTATTATTTCATTAAATTAGTCATTACCATTATTTTATTAATGAAAATATGTTATTAAAAATCGCATTCCGGCCTGCAGACTTACAGATCTAGTCTGTATTTACTATATTTTGTTAAATTTTGTTCTCGCTTTCTAATTTCTAATACGAAAATACGCGAATATAAATGAAGAGTGAAAACAAAGTTAAAAAATTCACAAATTATTTACGAGATTGATTAGAAATAATGAATGAAATATAAACATTGCATACATTTTGTTCTAAATAAAGTGTGCACTGTATGCATATTTATGCAATTTCTTTCATTTAAATATGAAAGCAAAATAATCATCGAAAAAATTGCAAAATCTAGCAACTCCTCTACTATGGGACGTAGCGTCCGACAAACATGTAAATTTTACTTCATCCATGGAGGGGAACTGACGACTTTTCTCATTAGGAAAATGTCAAAGAGGGGGCAAAACTGTTTCGGATTGCTGGTCTGAAAGCTATAATATGAGAATTTCGGCCCGGTTTTAGAAGTTTAGCTATGGAAATTCGGAATTTTTGAAGTTTATTAAAAGTTTAAAAAGTTTTGTCGTCTGATCTGTTTTTTTTTTTTTTTTTTTAAATTAAAATTCTTATTTTCTTCCTTGGTTTACAAATATAGATTTAAGGTATCCCATATTCTGAATTAAAAAAAAATAAGAATTTTACATTCCAAGAGTCATTTATACTTTCAAAAACGTAATTTTGTGAGTTCAGCTACAAGCGTCTGTTTTCTCTTCATGTCAGGTGGGCAGATGAACCTTTCTATGAATCTTTCTAAGTAGAATATTTCTTCGCTTTTCTGTACATTAAAATAAATTCCTTAATTTAAATTACAGTTATAGGATAGGTGATGTATAACACCAGAATAAACTGAGAAAGACAGAAAATCAGTAGTGTTTTAGAGCAGTTGAAAGTAAATAAAATGTTTGTAGGATCCAGCCATGGCTGGTGTTAGTGTCTTGCCTGCAATTAATGGACTTGGGTTAACCTTATTAATTTACTCACACACACAACGTAAACTATATACACTTTGTACAAATAGAAATATACCAGTTGATTAAATTTTTAAATTTATAAAATTACCACACTGAGCATACTAAGCATTTGGCTTTTGCTGAAAGTCAAGTCTCCAACTTACCCTTTTTCTGCCTGGAGGGCCCTAACTATTTTGGGGTTACAGGTTTGGAGGATCAGGCACTACACCTTCCCCTTAAGACTGTGGTCGGGCAGGATGTCCAGACGCATTCTGATAACAAAGCTTGGTGTTCACAATTCAACATTATAACTACTAATCAACTAAAAGAAAATATAAAAATGTTACAACATTTGCATAACAAAATAGTTAACTCCTATAAGTAAACATTTTAAAGAAAAACTTCCAAATGGTTAAGAATGTTACACTTAAATTATCTAATTGCTGTAAGTAAACTAATTTCGATAACCTTACAAATATTACTTAGTAAAAGAATATCTTGCAATAAGCTTTAAAGAAAATAAGAAAATTAACAATTAATCTAAACACCAAAATTAAAGTCTTTATGTCCATATCATTAAGTATCTAAAGAGTTTTCTGTTCATAAAAAAAAAAAAAAAAAAAAAAAAAAGAATGAATAAATAAATAAATAAAAAATAAAAAATTAGTCTGGATAAAGCATTTGCATTACCCATTTTGACTCCTGGTAAATATTTCATGTCTATATTATATTTTTGTGAGGCAAAATCCCAACGTTGTGATCTAGATGATTGCGGTGCACATTTTATCAGGTAAGGTAAAGGATTATGGTCGGTGTAAAGCTCAACGTTAAATTCAAAAATCCGGTTTCAAATTTCTTCAAACTTCACACAATAGCATATGCTTCTTTTTCAACAGTAAACCATCTGTGCTCGAGTTAACTTCTAACTTGCATGGGCTATGGGATAATTGCATTCAGTGGTGTAGCTAGGGGGGGCAAGGGGGGACATCTGTTCCCGGGCACAGCATCCAAGGGGTGCCAAATTGATGCTATGAAATTTTTTAATGAAATGTTTTCCATTCTTGGAACACAGGAAAATGGGCGCAAATTCTTCATTTGTCCCCGGGCACTGGAAACTAGCTACTGATTGCATTCATTGAAATTTTGTTAATAAAAGCATGCTGCAACTCCTATTTGTGAGGCATCACAATGTATAATAATTGGTTGCCCCAAAACTGATGTATACAATGGTGGAGCTTTAATCAGAGCATTCTTGAGTTCTTCAAAAGCTATGTTGTGCTCTTCTCTCCATGGTATTTCCTTAGCTATCTTCTTCTTTGTATGTTCCATAAGTAGATATACTAATTCAGAATATTTTGAAATATAGTCTCTATAATAATTACATAGGCCTAATAGACTTCAGAGTTGTTTCGTGGTCTTTGGTTTTGGTAATTTGGAAATCACTTTTATCTTCTCAGGATCTGCTTGATGTTTTCCAGATCCGATTACATGACCCAAATATTTCCGTTTTTCCACCTAGAGGGTGCTACCTATTTTCAGGGTTGGAGGACCAGGCACTACAATGTTGATAGCACTACAATGTTACACTACACTACAATGTTACTACATTGTTACACTACAATGTTAGGCACTACAATGTTAAAATAATGCTTTATGTGTTGTACGGTTCGATCCTCCACTTCCAAAAAATACTACTTTTCTTAAGCCAAAAACTATTATTAATTTCTATCATTACTTTTTTAATTAAAAAAATAAACATCTTAAAGTATAAATTCAATAGCATGTCTAAAGGTAAAATAAAAACTAAGTTTATTCATAACTGAAAAATTCAAATTATAATCTAGGTAAATTTTAAATTTAAGATGTTAATGTATTAAAATATTCTTAATTATAAAATTATCAATTTCAAAATAAGTGTCTTACAACCTTTTAGATATAGAAAAGAGAAATGTCTGATGTTTCATTTTACCTTATGTTGCTAATTAAGACTTTGATGTGCATTTAACTTCTTTTTGATTTATATGTACTGTGAGACAATTCAGTAAATATTTTCCTACTGTCTTTAAAGAATTACTGTGTAAAATAAATAACAAGATTTATTATCTGATTAATTCTTTTGGGAAACTTTGCATAAAACTTAAGTTCACTGGAAGGAACTTTTTTGTAGCTTCTATTTTTAGAGAGAGAGAGATACATACAGGCAGAATATTATCAGAAAATATATGCATATTTTTTAATCTATAAATCTGTTGGGCCAAAATAATTTTCATTAAATCCTAACTGCAAGATTTAAAATGTATTACAGTATTATATGAATATGAATTATACTTCATTTATATTCTTATGTGGTATTATGTATAAACATATGTATAAATTGTATGTAAAACATATGTATAAATTTTTCTTCAGGAAAGCTTCAGTAGAGAAAATTACAAAAGAAACTCCACCTCCTCCTGAGCCAGCTGAATCTATGGAATTTGAAACTGTTTCTGAAGAAGAAAAAGAAAAAGGCTTGCTTGAAGTAGTGACTGATGGTAAGTGTTTAATAAATTTAAATTTTCGTATTTATTTATGTAAGGTCTGCACTAAAAATTTTAATGCAAGTTTCCAGATGCAGATATCATGTGGATCATTCAGTAACTAAATTTAATAACTTTCACTTATTTATAAAAGTCTTGATATTTAGTATAGAAAATTCAAAATTTCTTCATGCATATGCACGTAATTCTGAGTGGTTTTTTTTTTTTTTTTTTTTTTAGAATTATGAGAAAGCAGTAACATTCAGGGTAATTTTTAATAATTATCTTCAGCCCCTCTGTGTCAGATGTAGCTTTCAGGCAGCAGTTGTTCTTTAACTTTAATTTACTCACTTTTATGCTTTACCATTATGCCTCACTATGACATTCAAGTTATAGTCTGTGATGCACCATTGTTGAGCCTATTCTCATTTACAGAAAGGTTGTTTTCATTAGTTGTTTATGATGAGGGGTTTGGACCCCCACCTGCAAAAAAAAAAAAAAAAAAAAAAAAAAAGAAGAAAAGGGAAAAAAAAAAAGTCTATTGATGGTTAAAAGTATTATTTGATACATCTTTTAAAGTTTAAATCATCATAAAAGCATGCATATATGCACATACTACCTAAACATGTATTGAGCAATCAAGGCCATGCATAATATGCACATACTACCTAAACATATATTGAATAATCAAGGCATGGGCCCATCTATGTTTTATCATATTGTGCTCTCCTTATACAGGGGTTAGAACTCTAGACCACTGTTGTGTCTTGACCTGTAATGTGCATGTTATTACTTATGAAATGTGTGGTCTGCTAAATTGTACAACAGCTAACAGCACTGGAATTTGCAGGAGTCATCAATGGTTATATTAACATGTCTTCAGTTTTCTCAATAATTTATGTACTGTATATCAAATGTATAGCTAAAGTATATTATCACAAAGTGTAACTGCAATGCAAAGATAGTACCATTCCTGCAAAATGTGCATTCTGTATTAGCAGAAGAACGGTGTGTATTCTGTATTTTCGTGAGGTATAGCAATTGAGTGGTTAAGATGACTTAACACTGGTTTTTTATATCTGTATTCAGATCTTGGCAAAGAGACTGGCAGCATGGGTATTTTCATGGTTTTCTCCATCTGTAACTTAAATCTAAGACAGTTTCCATAGAAAGTGTTCTACAAAAGCATCCCACTCGTCAGGCAGATAGCCCTCATATGTACTTTGCCATAAACCAAATCAGTCATAAAATTAATACAACTAATTCAAGTGTCTTGTATACGAGTGATCTCAAACTGGTGACCCCCCAAAGCAGTTTTATGTGGTTTGTGAGCACATTTCAATTATGTATTTGGTGCAAACATAGTGTAAAAAAACATTTTAAGATTTTAGTTGTTTGAAGTCCAAGTTTACTTAATTTTCATAACCATTAAAAACGAACATGAAAACGCACCAGAAAATAAAAAAATTAAATTAATTTACAGTGTGATGTAAATCTTATTCAAGCATTTGAAGATACAGATTTTATCAACTTTTACTCTTTGGTCAAAAAATAAATAAGCTTATTTATGAATTTTTGCACTAAGAATAATCACTTTGTTTAGAAATGCATTATATGTGAGCTGCCATTTTCACATTTGAAAATTAATAAGAAAACAACCCGATTGACCAATGAGCATCTGCAGTCTATCGTTAAGATAATTCAAGTAAAAGTTGCGAACTTTATCAGAATCAAGATGCCATCAAGTGACAAGCTGTAGTAATAAATAAATAAATTTTTAATTATTTAAATGCAATTAGATGTACTTATGCGATGAAGAAAAGTTAAGACAGTGCTTTGTCTTTATTATTCTTTTTTGTCTCACTAGAAAATTTTCTCTGACAAATGTGTTTATAATTTTTTTAAAATTTTTAGTTTAAACTAAAGTTAGTTATTTAATGATTAATTAAACATGTTAGAACTATTTTAAATAAATGTCAGTCTGAAAATTTAATATTTAGCTGTCATTATATTTGAATAATAAATTGTAGCCAAAAAAAAAAAAAAATTGTAGGTACCAAACTTAGGTAAAAAATAAAAATTAGAATTTTTACTTTGCAATATCATTATCATTATTATGTATGTTTTGATAAAATATTTATTTATAAAATTTTAAATTTATTTAAAATATTTTGTTTTTTTTAAAATATATATATATATATATTCCTGGCTCATCAGCTGTTTTTATATTTTATATTTGGCCTACATACAGTCTTAGTTTGGTACCACTGCTGTATGCAATATATTCAGCATTTTTATAACAGTATTATTTTTAAGTCCTTATATTCCACTCTGAACATTTTACTATAGATTGTTGATTTGTGCCAACTGGTTTCTCATGCTGACCTTGGAGTTATAGTTAAGGCCGGTTTACACTGATCTTGAGTGAGCCCCGAGTGACTTTCAGTGAGCCTCTCGTCCGAGCGTCTTGAGCCGAGGGAACGGACTTGTACTCTGATAGATTGTTTACACCAATCAGAGCAGACTGACAACTCGCCTCCGTTAGTTTGCAAAATGGATACTGACTTGCAAGTTGCTGTGCTTGAAGTAGTTTCCAATGAATTAATTTCTGTTCTGGGGGGGGAAGGAAAAGAAATCAAAACATGACTTTTGCCTAGAAAACTAGTTTGCCGTGAGGGATTGGGAGCATTAAATCAACTTTTAAATGAACTCCAGGGCAAGGATATCCAAAGTTACAATAACTTCATCAAAATGGGTGAAGGATAATTTGAAACTTTATTGAAATAGTCACTCCACTTATTCAGGAAAAACTTTTGAGATGCTCTGCCAGCAAAATTAAAACACAGATAACGCTTTGTTTACTGGGGACGGGTGACTCCTACAGTTCTCTGCAATATTTATTTCGAATGCCATAATGCACAATCAGCATATTTATTCCAGAAGTGTTTGAGGCCATTTTCTGTTTATGAGTGAAAATTATTAATTTTTTGCTTGAACTCTCCAACACCCTCAAATTATATGCCTTCTGTCGGCGATTTTTATTTTAATACTTCTGACTTATCGTTTGTAAATAAAATCTGATTTGTGGTTCAAATAAAAAGGAAAGTTTATAAAACAAAATTTTAGATTACATTTTATTAGATGTAACTGGCCATGAGTAGAAACTGGTCTTTTGAAATTTATATCAACAAAATAAAATAAATGTTTGCCCTTTCACTTATTTTTTTAAATGAAAACTATATTTTATTGGGGAGTTGAATAATATATAATTTAATTGTTTTTTGATTAAAGAAAATTCAGAAATAAATATATTTAAAATAAATATTTTGAATCTGATATCCTAATTTAATTTTCTTCTATGTTTTTTATCTACAATATCAAAAACCTAAATCCATTCTGATCATTAGTTATACCCACATTATATTTAGGCATTACTAAACAATGGTTGTAATATTCAGGTAGTGAAGTATCCTATAATACTTCACAAGATGCATATGCATTAAAAAATGCCATAGTTAGATTATCGCTGCATCTCAGCGTTTACGATATGAAAAAAAAAAAAAAAAAAAAATTGGACACAACGTCTCTGTGAAAACTGTTCAGAGTTATTTATTGCCCGGATAGATTTTCAACTGGTTCGAAGAAAAAATGTACTCGTTGACTCATTCCCCCTACGTTTCTTTTCGGACGAAGTGAGGAAGTGAGCATGTACATTGTCAAAGTAGTCGCAGAGAGGGCTTGGTTGTGGGTCCCTCGGACAGGTGTAAACTAGTCTTTAGTCAGGCAGTGGAATACTCTTCACTGAAGTCACTAGAAATTCTGTTTGGTTTACAACTAACTGAAGCTAGAAGCCATCTCAGCAATATACAAATGTGTTTGGATATTACATGATATGTGAATGTTGCTGAAATGTTTATTATAATAATGAAACACTAAAGTTTTGCTATTAATGGTTAAGTATTTTAATAATTTATCAAACAAAATATTTCTTTGTAAGTTATATCTTAATGCAGCAAAAGCTATGCTAATACTTTAAGTTTTTAGAGGGCATTATATGTTAGAATCAAGTATTGAATAAATTATATATTATCAGTGTTTAAAATTTTGTAAAACCATGTATTGAAAAATTTTCTAAGTGGGAAATATTTCATAAAAGAAGAATATTTTATTTCTACTTACTAGAAGCATATTTTATTTACGGAAGTTTTTGAAAGAGTGCATTAAATAATGAATTCAGAATAATAGTTTAATCTAAAATTTAATGTTATTAAATCTGGAAATGTAAAACATACAAATTCCTTAAAAAAAATGTTTTGTTTATATATTTGTATGTATAAGTGGTCTCTGTTTGTGAAAGAAACTTGTAACATTTTACTTATCCAATTTCATTACAATTAATAAATAAAAAATACTTTTAATTGTGTACTTTGTGTAATGAGAGGTATCTTGTGTCTGTGATTTGAAGAAATTAAAACAAAACAAAAAAAAAAAAAAAAAAAAAAAATTTGCTGCTTTTATGACTAATTTATCAATTTCCTTGTCTCATTTCTGTTTGAAATTTATCTTCTGAGTTGTTCAAACACTACGAAATTCTGTTTTTATTATGCATGATTTTGTAAAAGTGATCTTTTGCTTTAGTTTTGCATGTTGGATCTTTGTTAAGTAAAATATGAAGTAGGTAATGGAACTATTAAAAATATTTTGTTTATACTTTAGTGGAATAGAAGAAAAAGAAAAAATATACATAAAATGCAATTATTTAAATATTTTTTTTTAAAATTTAAACAATGTATAGTACATTTAATTTCTTAGCTTTCTATCATAATTAAAAGTTCTTTATTTCCATTCTCATGAATTTTCTTTTCCTTTTCCCCTTTTTTTTAAGATGGAGCTTTAGTTCGTCGAAGTTCAAGGAAAAGAAAGTTAGCTAAAGTTTTGAAAGGTAAGATTTTAGCTTACTGACAAACAGTTAAATTGCTTAAGCTAATTAAAATTTTTTATTTGAACTCTTTTGATGTGTTATACTATTACATAAACATTTTAACTTAAATCATTTATGCCATTGTTTCAAATAAATATTATAAAGATATTCAGTAATTTATTATTTGTTTTACTTATAGTGCACCTGTTTGTCAAGTTTAGTAACATTGTGAAGTAAAGCATTTTGAATTGAATAAAAATTTTAATATATTTTAATGTGCACTTTTTGAGGAAGTTACATTTTTGAAACAGTGTATCAATGAAAAAAATATAAGATAAGATTAAAATGTAATGTAGCAGGAGGTAATGAAACATTTTGAGTAAAAAGCATGTGCTGGCAAAACACATGCACTCAAAATGCATTTTTGAAATTAGTTCTAATAGTTGACTCGGAGCTTATTTATATTATTTAAGAAATATTAAATATCAGAAGACACTGAACTGAAAGTTGCAGCATGAAAATATGTGATACAAATTAAATATATTTTCATTGTTTGTATGAAACATTTGACAGAATTTTAAGAAATGATACAAAATTACTTCAAAAATATACCGTATTTGATGGCATATAAGGCACACGTTTTTCCTAAATTTGGTCTCAAAAAAGTTACCTGCATCTTATACATGAAGGACACGGGTTAACTTTCAATACTGAATGCTATTTTTAGCCCGGATAAAGGTCTAGACACAAATAACTTTTTCTACATCTACATGTATGTGGCCTTCTAAATAAGGGTGCATCTTATATGCCGTCAAATATGGTAATTTCTGAGTAACCGAATGTAATAAACTCGTGGTTTACAGTCTTTAAGCTGTATATGTAAAGCGCATGCTCGCTTATTCATTTATTGAGCGAAAAGCAGTTAAGAAATTAAATTCTTCACCATGTTAGCTCTGAAGTAAACAACAGCATATGCTGCTGAAGGTACGCGTGTGCATCAAAAAAGTATTAAGTTGCCTAATTAATTTTTTTTAAATCTTTATTTTAAAGGGAATAGTTTAATCTAGGAAAAAGTACTACAAGACCTATATTTTTAAATTTTGGATTTTAAAACTATTAGAGGTATAATTGTTGAAAAAATTTATTGATTTCGGAAAAATTGCAAAAAAGTCCTTTGAATAAAATTCATTTTCAACCCCCAACAACTAAAATTCTGTAATGAATAATGCAAAATTGAGCAGCTCTTGTTTATATTAGTGTTAAATGCTATACATACTCTTTCTTTTGTTATTTTGAATCATTATGATAAAAAAAATTGAGATGTCTACTAAATGTATGTGAATGTGTGAATTTATTAGATTATGAAACTGGAAATCTAAAGCAAGAACTTGGTAGTGATGTTGATGATACTGATATTACTGAACGTGACTCAGAGGCTAATTCCAGAAAAAGGAAAGGAAAAGCTATTGCAAGACCAAAGAAATATGTTCTACCACAGTCTGTGAGTTCAACTGGGTCTTTTAATAATGGTAATTTCCAGTGAAAGATTGTATTTATCCACTCTTATTTGCATAGTGTAATTAGAATGCCATTTTTTTAAACTTTTATTTCCTATGATGGAACTACATAGAAATAAATTAATGCAGTTGTCTGTAATAAAAAGAATTCTTAAGTCAGTAGATATATTTAGAATATATAAAATGTAGTCTATGAAAGTTAAATCTCAGAGTTTGTAAATAAAACTACATGACTACATTTTAATTTTTGTGCGATATGTTTATTCTCACATTATTAAACACTTATTGAGTTTTGATTGCATACTGAATTTCCAGAATTGGGGAAGAATCATCATAACTGTACAAAAGGCTCTGATGAAATTTTCTGAAAGTCTGAGTTACATTATTGATTTTAGATTGACTTCAAGTTATTTTATTAGAAAATTAATATGTATTATAAAATGAAGTGTCAGAATGCTGTAGATAAAATATTTTAGTGGAAGATATGATCAAGAGTAAAGATGACTGCAGGATTTAAACTTGGTATTGAATTAGATAATGCAGGTTTTGAACCTTGAACCCACATGTATAAACTAAGGTTTATTATTAGTAGATGGGAGTATGTTATTAAAAATTTTATTCTCTCAAATGTGCCAAGAAGTATAATCACATAAAAACTAATAGGAGATTGGCTGGTAATTAGTGTATATGGTGAACTAGAAAACAAGATAGTAACTTACGCATTATGGTATTTTGTCATTGCTTAGGATAAGGTGATTTTGAATTTAGTTAAGTGTTTTACAAAAGAAAAATGATTTCGCTCTTAAGGACCTGCGAGAGTACACAGTCTCATTTTGTTTATTAAAATGTCTGTTTCTGTGACAGCATTGATAGTACACTGTCTAAAAAATGTATATACAGTTAAGTGAGAGTATCTGCTTACTGGTGTCAAAGTTAAATTTTCATTACAATATTTTGTAGAGAGTTTTCTCAACAGATGCCACTACTCTCACAACTGTATCGTCTGGTGTATGATAATAAATCAGAATGGCTGAGGCATGCTTGGCATTTGAAGAATGGAGGTCTATTCTAAAAAGGTATTTCAATTTTGAAAATTCTGTTTAAGTTCAGCACCAGTGGAGGCATGAATTTCAGTCTTCAATGTGTTAGGCAATTACGCAGGTTTGTGGCAAATTTGAGATGCACCATAGCACTTGTGTTCTGCACAAGAGATAAACCAAAAGCAAAGATCCATGCACATATTGGAAACAAGAAACTACAGTTTCATGTACAGCAGTCCTCACAGGCATATTGACCAATATTATTCAAACAACCATGGACTATGTATCTGGCTGGCAATGATCACAATTAAGTAATTGTTCAGGTACAGGGGTAGGAAGATTATATTAAACCTAACCCAAGCAAACCTCTGATATATTAACCTATAATTAAATTTGATACTAACACACATTAAATAATTTTTTCATTAAAGTGTATATAAATTTTTTGATGGAAATGTGTATTTGCACTTTTTAAAATAATGTGAGGTACAGAGATTAAAGTACATTTATGCAAAGTTACCATACAATTGAAATATTTACAAAAGAAAAGTTTTGAAAGTCACAATGTTTTCCCTTTAGCAGTGGCGTAGCTAGGGTGGGGGAAGGGGGGATATCTGTTCCCGGGCGCAGCATTCAAGGGGCGCCAAATTGATGCTACAAAATTTTTTAATGAAATGTTTTCCATTCTTAGCACACAGAAAGGGGGCGCAAATTCTTCAGTTGTCCCCGGGCGCTGTAAACTCTAGCTACGCCCCTGCCCTTTAGGCACATCTTAACACTTTGACTCACGCTATATTATTTTTACAATTTTTTTTTAACTAAAAACTCTAGAAATTGAATATTATGATTCTAGAGACAAGTAATATATGAATTAAAAAATATCTACTCTTGCCCATTGTTCTGTGGGTGGTGGACGCACTGTGAAACCAGTGCGCGTTTAGGAGTTTGAAACTTACTGTGGTAGTAGGGGGGAGGAACTTACCTTTTTCCGTGCGCATTTCCAATAAATGACAAAATTTACGAATTTAAAAAAAAATGTGTGTAAGAATTGTATTATATGTAAATTTTTTACATTTTTTTACAAAGTAAATCGTCAGAATAAATTAAAAAATAAACATTTATGTAATTTTACTATAGCAGTGAGAGTATTAAGTACCTGCATAATAAGAACGTTCAGATAAATGGATTAAAAAACTCAGTAAAGTAAGGGGAAAAAAATCAGTGTTTTTTTTTTTTTTTTTTAATTTCAAAGAACACATTTTTTTTGTGACACTATTCAAAGTATGTTTTGTCTCTTTGGTACATGCATAGACTCACATTGCACATTTCGCATATGTAATCTTGTTCTATGAGGTTTCTTCCTTGTGCTACAAAATGTACACTGCCTGGATCTTCTAAATTTCATTGGTATATGTCCAGCGTTATTTAGTTTCTTTTCATCTGGCACATGAAATTTGTGGTTTATTATGTTACTTGGGGGGCTTGGTCTTTTTGGCTTTAGTACGGATCATTCGCTTCCTATTCATATTTATTTTATTCGTATTTTGTCCCAAAACATTTAGAAAATATTTTTAATATAAATAAAACTTTTAGTACGTGATTTCTATTTTTAATTATAGCAAAGTATATTTACATTAAATTTAAACCACACCAAATAATTTATAAACTCACAACACTAGCTTGGAAAGCAAGTGTGTTGAGGTCAGAGAAAAATCTCTGGAAAAGAAACACCTTTTCACAGGGCAGGTGCATGTATTGTTTAGTAATAAAATAACTCTGTGGTTTCAAAGCCCTTTATCTATATCTGGTTTAAAAAAAAAAAAAAAAAAAAAAAAAAAAAAAAAAAAACATTCCTATTTGAAAGTCAAGCAAATGCCATTGTGAAGAGCAGTGGTTTCAAGGCACGACCACCGAGTCTCTAGAGGACTGTGAGCACTGTGACACAATGCTCTAGTGGCGCAGTAGTCGCGCCCTGAAACCACAAAGCAAATGCCATAAATAGATAGGTTTTTTTTTATATATGATGGTTTTTTTTATATATGCAGTTTAATTATTGCAATTTTTTATTTTTCACGATAGAAATCATGATGTGTGTTGAATAGGTTTTGAAATTTAAAGTTGTTTATGTTAATAAAAGGAAGTTAATTTGTCTCACTGAAAATGAATTTTAAAAGGCATTCTATTTAAAGTACTAAGACTTAAAATATATATGATTCTGCGGTCATTTTGTGTTATTTAGAGGTAAAAGATTAGTAATCAATTGATTTTGACTCAAAAATTTTGGAAAGAAGAGGAGAAAAAAATTCGAAAATTGGTGATTTCAGGGTGCGATCATCGCGTGTCAAAGGGTTAATACATACATAACTAACTTTGCAATTGATTATTTTATTATAAGCACTGTTTGATAACAGTTTTATTTTGATGGGAAAAGGTATATTTCAACCAAAAATTGTAATACTTGTTTTTTTTTTTTTTTTTTTTTTTTTTGAGTTATTGCAATACTTAATGTTTCCTTCATTTTCAAGAACTATTGTGTGTGTATATATATATATATATATATATGTATGTGTATACAGTCAATTACCGAAAATCCGCCGACCTAAAATCCAGCAACTCCTGAAATCCGCGTTGTCTCTCAAAATATAAGCATTCAGTTTATAGGTTCCGAAAACTGCAACATTGAGTACTAAATATCAAAGAAAAAATACTTAACGAATAATAATGAGTCATAAGGGAAATACCAAATTATTGACATCATGATCAAAGTTTTTTCCCCTCTAATCTGCATCAAGGTAAGAAAGCAGACAATTCACTCAACTCTTCTTTCAAGTTCATGATTCACGTTGTTGTACAGTCAAAGTCGTTAATCCGGACTCGTCGGGACTTCGGCGATTCCGGATTATCGATTTTTCCGGATTATAGATCATCAGTTTAAATCTCGTAAGATGGTATGCAGAAATTTTAAAATTAAAAATATGAAACCGTAATTTATGAAATAAAGAACAATTATGATCTAAAGGGTATCAAAATTTATAAAAAAAAAAAGCTTAATATTTATTTGTTTACTTTATTAAACATTTCTTTCAATGTAAGTTGTTTAAGTTGCTTCATTTTATGTGATAATACTTTCTCTTTAATTCTATAAACAGACATAATTTCTTGTTCAGTTACTAAGTTCCGCTGTTTAAGTCCCGTTAATTGCTGTGCCGAGAATACCGACTAACTTGTCAATCGAATTTTTTTCGTTTTCACTAACCTCTCTGTCACATTCTTCATGTCTTTATCCATTTTTTGCAGCAATTCCACTTTTTGTTTGTTGGACATTGAAACATACTTTTGTTTTGTAGATCCTTTGGAAGTTCCAGCATCGGAAATTCTATTTGACATAATCGAAAGTTCAAGTTTACTTTTATAAAATTGCTCTTACAGTCTGCAAAAAATAATAAGCGGGATCCAATTCGAAGATTAAGAAACAACGCAATCATTAACATTAAGTGAAATAGATAATTAGATAATTTTAGCTTACACCGTCCGTTATACATTAAACGCGCAGGCGAAAACGTATTCTGCACTTGCGCACATGCATATGCGCAGTAGTCAAGGTCTTACGCGCTCGCGTAAAACGCCTGTGCACATGTGCCAACGTGGCGCATGCGCTGAAGGTTTTTAGCTTTGAGGTCCGGATTATGGGTGTCCGAATTAACGACTTTTGACTGTATTTTCTGAGCTTTGTTCTTTCACAAGATTATTTAGTGCTTTTTTTTTTTTATCCGAATATTTTGTGGATAAATTAAGAATATTTTAAATTTCAGCCCTTTTTAATACAGTTACAGATTAGAAATGCACTCATGATTTTACTGCTTGCAACATTGAAAAACGTAAACACGTTGCATTGATGGTAATGTAAAAAGTGCAAATTCTGCAAAAGATGGAGACAGGTGCCACTCCTCGGTTTATAGCAGAATCGTACAGAATTGTGATACGAAAAAAATAAAGAAAAGCTGTTGAAATTTTACAGCAACAGTGATTCTAACACCGGAATCCGAAACCGGAAATCTTTGCATGAGGCGAAATCGGCAAACCTCAATGCTGTATATATATAATACAGTGAATAATATAATCAATTTATATATGTAATAGCAATTTAATGCATATAATAAGTTATTGCAATAATTTGTATAATAATTTAATTAAATGTTTCTAATATGCCTTATTTATTTTGCACTTTTAGTCTGAATATTATGATTTATCATTTCTGTCCTGAAATCCGCAAAATCCTAAAATCCGCACAACCTCTGGTCCCAAGCTTTGCGGATTTCTGGAATTTTACTGTATCTGGTTGTAAGAAAAGTTTTCTGTAAGAAAACGTTCTTAATAAAGTTAGAAAAAAAGATGAAAGCAGTACCTTTAGTGCTCGTAGTAGTCAACACCCAAATCTATATTTTTCTGCCAATTTTTTGCTAATTTTTCAAGCACTTTGGCCCAGAAACTTGTGGCCGCAAATCCGAAAACAGATCAACCTCATTTTGGACATTGTGTGCAAAATGGAAGCTAGCATTATCAAGATGTAGCTGCAGGTGTGAAAAAAGATGTCGAAAGGAGCGATGTCAGGGCTATATACAGTCAAAAGTCGTTAATCCGGACTCGTCGGGACTTCGGCGATTCCAGATTATCGATTTTTCCAGATTATAGATCATCAGTTTAAATCTCGTAAGATGGCATGCAGAAATTCTAAAATTAAAAGTATGAAACCGTATAATTATGAAAATAAAGAAAACAATTATGATCTAAAGGGTATCAAAATTTGCAAAAAGAAAAAAGCTTAATATTTATTTGTTTACTTTATTAAACATTTCTTTCAGTGTAAGTTGTTTAAGTTTTGCTTCGTTTTTCATGTGATAATACTTTCTCTTTAATTCTATTAAACAGACATAATTTCTTGTTCAGTTACAAAGTTCCGCTGTTCAAGTCCTATAATTGCTGTGTTGGAGAATACTGACTAATTTGTCAATCGAAATTTTTTCGTTTTCAATAACCTCTGTCACTTTCTTCGCTATCGGAAGCGAATTATAATGACGAGGAACTTGTTTAAATCATATCAAAAGACGGAGCACATCGAGATGAAATACTACATTTGATAAGGAATTATAAGCCAAATAAAATACAAACATCTGCCCTGAAGATAAGGATAGTGCTGACAGATCAACTTCCAATTCATTACGCGCCCGGCGCGGCGTTCCCCCTGCCGAGCAGCGTGAAATTGATAAACAGATTTCGGATTTCAAAACATACTTTCGCTTTAGATCCTTTACATATTAACAAATATATATCGGAAATTCTATTTGATATAATTGAAAGTTTAAATTTACTTTTATAAAATTGCTCTTACAGTCTGCAAAAAATAATAAGCCGGATCCAATTCGAAAATTAAGGAACAACGCAATCATCAACATTAACTGAAATAGATAATTATTTAGCTTATACGTCCATTATACATAAAACGCGCACGCAAAAATGTATTCTGCACTTGCACACACTCATATACGCAGTCGTAAAAGGTCTTACGCGCACGCGTAAACGCCTATGTGCATGTGTCAACGCGGCGCATGCGCAGAAAGTTTTTAGTTTTGAGGTCCGGATTATAGATCATTCCGAATTATGGGTGTCCGAATCAACGACTTTTGACTGTAGTATATGGTCAAAAGATCCCATTCGAATCTGTACAGAGTCAGCCGGTGAATGCAGACACATGTGGTCTTGTACTATTTTGATATTACCTCCTTTGTGTCTGAACTCAATTAGGTGTTTTTCCTTGATAGCAGACTAGCTTCTCACTGTACACCTTACTGTTGAGGGTTTTACCTTTTTCCAGATACTCTTTGTGGATAATACCACAGCAGCCCCATTAAATACAAAGCAGTATCTTTTTGTTAGTCAAACTGCAATTTGCGATGCTGCGGACAGTCTCAATGAGTGCAGACCAACCCCTTTTTTAGCCTGTGTTGTTGAAGTAAATCCAGTTTTCATCACAAGTGACAATCTGGTCTAGAATTTTGTCCTTGCATTGATATTCGAGCATGTTAGTAGAGGCCCGAATGTGTCTGTCCTTATCTGCTTGAGTCAACTCATGCAGCACCCAGCGACTGAACTTGTACGTCAAGTTTATGTGATGCATATCATGCAATGGATGTGGCACTAGTGTCTAACTCCTTAGCTTGCTCTAGAGTGGTTGCATACTGATCTTCTTCCACAGTTTCTCACAGGCAGTCCTCATCAACATCAGTAGGCCAGCCAGAGTGATCTGTTTCTTGAATGTCATAGTCCTTGTTTTTGAACTTTCGGTACTAAATCTTCACAGTGTCATATGATACAACATTAGTACCTGAAGCTGTATGTATAATTTGGTGACATTCTTTAATTTACTTTTTGCCACAGGACTGGAAGTAAATGATGGTTCTAATTTGCTATTGTTCTAATCTAGCATGATAGTTTCATTTCAGGTACCTTGTACTTAATGACAATGATTTTTTTTTTTTTTTTTTTACAAATTTTACAACACAGTGTTCTAAGCAAGTTTTTTTCTTTCAAATGCCAAAAATCATTTGATAAAGTATGATTAAACACACCAATGCGAACTATTTGTGCAGACAAGATTTGTGGTGGCGGGAGACCTTCGTTAAAATCCGATATATTTGCACTTGTTCATTCTTTAAATTATTATTCTAACTGATGAACTTTAAAATTTTAGGTTCAAAACGTCAAAGGGGAAGGCCAAGAAAAACTATAGTTGAAAGTGAACCAACGCAAGCTTTTTTGGTACAGACTGCTGATGGCCAAACTCTAATGATGCAAGTGCCTTTATCTAGTATTCCAGCTGGTGTGACTCTACAGGAAATGGCTCAAACTATTGCCAACAGATTAAATCTAGGTCTTAACCAGGTTTGTTTTATACATAAATAAGAAATTTCTCAAAATTTTATTAATTCTTTTTCAGCATTTTCAGGTAACTATTATACAGTATGCCATTTTTAATAGGTTTTCCTACATTTACAACAATCAAAATGACTTATGACTAAACGTATGAATATTTATGACTGATTTGCTGCTTTTCATTTATATTCTAAATTTTTAATTTCTGAATCATATTTGCTTATGCACTAACTTTACTATATGTTACTTACTTCGAAACTCGTAAACGGTAAATGGTTTGAGATATTTATATATAAAATACTAAAGAGTCATCAGTAAATTTTTATGTCAACAAAAATTGTTATCTAATATTCATTAAGCTCTTAGAAAAACATTTATATAATACTTAATCTGTTATCATGGGATTTATTTTTAATATAACTAAGAATTCTACTTTATTAATACAAAATTATATGCTAAAATAAATTTGTGTTTTTTATCTATAAATTGTAACTAGCATTAATTTAATATGTTTAAATTATGTTTTAATCATTTCAAGATTGTTATGAATGTTTTTCTATGCTTATTCTGTAATGTTTGTTACACAATTATCTTTAATTGGTTAGCAAAAATATATAAATAAATAAATAAAAATGTTGCTGCAAATCGTACAAAAATAATTACAGTAAATAAATGATTTTACTTTTGCTTTTCTTTTACTATTTTGAAGAGGGAAAAAAGGGAGGGGGGAATTTATTATTTCAGGAAATTGAAAGTTTTTCTTTAGTTTAAATATTGCTTTATATAAAAATTTGCATTAACAAATGTGAAGCAATAAGAGTATGATTTGATTAATAAATGCGATTTATATTGTTTTATAAAATATTTACATTATCACGTATAAAGATATTAACTATCTGAATGCTTTGAATGCATATATGTGCTTTCAAAGATCTCTCAATCTTGATTATGAAGCAATAAGTATGTTTGCTGCTAAAGATTGTGTTATACCTAAGCATGCGTACAGAAGGAAAAAATGCATTTTTTCTCCACTGTACTTAGTTGTTCTTTAATAATCTTTTCTTCATATGTAAGCTTTTATGTATTTTTATGGTGCATTTTTTGTTCTTATTATGTCTTTGATATGAAGAGTGAATGTATGATGTCACTTTGGCACAATTTTTTTTTTTTTTTTTACTTACCAGCAATGCAATTAATATATCCAGTATGTCTAATGAAACTAATGATTTTGTTATGAAAGTGTGATAAGTGTTTTATTATTAAAGATACTATCAGTAAATCTTGCCTAAAAAATTTTAATTTATTCAGCTAAGTTTGTATTTTATCGTAAATGGGCTTAACAAGGCACATACCTGAAATCTCTTGACTGAAAGTAACTATGAAAGTAATAATTTTGCTATAAAACTTAAATGACATCTTTAGATATAAAGTAAATTTTTAGATATTTAACAAATTGCAATGTTTCTAAAACTTAATGAAGACTTCCAAGTTTTAATGATAACAAATGGAAAAAATCAGACTTTAACTCATACTTTAATTCTATGTTAAAGAACATATTAGAAAACAATCAAAAATCTGCAATTCTAGCTCTTTCTCTCAGGCATTCCTGTTTCTGGAAAATAATAGTAAATGTAAAAATTCTGGGCAATCGCAAGTGATTATTTATGTATGATGCATTTATTGATAGCATATATATTTTATTTAATAAATAATGCATGTTTTCTTTCCAGGTAAATAATGATTCTGTTACTGAAGTAAAAGGTGATGAATCATCAAAAGAAAATGAAGCTTTCTCGCTTGGGAAAAATCTCAGTGAAAATAATTCTGAAACAAGCACTGTGGATTCTGCCGAGCCAGCTGTCCAAGATCATTCAATAGGAAGCACTACAAATTTCCCTATGACAGAGCAACTGGAAAATATGGAAACCCATTCTGAAGCTGATGTAGATAATTCTTGTGAAGATATCATATCAAATATGGATCATATTATTGTAGATCCTGTTTCTGAGTCAGAAGTTAGTGAAGTTATTTTAGAAAGTAAGCAGTGTTTAAAGTTTTTTGAATAATAAAGTAAAATTTATTGCATAACATCTTTTTAATGTAGTAATAAAAAAAAGTAACTCTATATACAAATTAGCTGGAAATTTATGTAAAATGAAACACGAATAATAAATTTCATATAATAAATCACATTTTGGGAGTGACAAGATCTCTTTCTTCAAAAACTTTTAAAATATAAACTAGTACAAGACTATAAACCGTGTTTCAACAAGCAATTGGTTACTTAACATAATAACTAGAAATAGTTATTTGCAATATCATGAGTTTATTACCAGTATAATTTGGAGACTTTCAACAGTCCTTTCTGTTATCTTCTACTATTTTTAAACAGCTGCATAATTTTGTAACTTGCACACATTTTTTAATATTTTACCATTACATTTTTTAATGTAAAATATTTCTCTAAGAGTTCCATTTTTATACATATATTTTTCTTCAGAAATAGGACTATCATATACTCATAGTTGTATAAAATCTACTTAGCAACAAATACAAAGATCTAGAAGGAAATTTATAGTTTTCTGTGTATCAAATTTTGTTTTATAATGTATACATGTGTATTATGTAATGTGAACTGCAAATTAAAATTTGGTACATATAATAGCGTAAGAATATTGTATTATTTTCTTCACATTCTATCATTGTTTTATAAAATATGATCAACTGACATCAACTTACACCATATTCCACATTCTGATGTACAGTATCCAGAACGATCTAATAACCATACTTCCAGATCACCTATCCAATAAGTAAATAAGTATGCAAATAAAGTCAAAATAATGAGAAAAATTCTGTTCCTCATTTAAAAAGGTCTAAGAATAGAGAATATAAAACTCAGCCAACAAAGGCAAGTATACCTAAATGCCATTTTCCTACCCACTGACTGAGATTCCCTGCAGGTATGTCACTTTCAAACACCTGCTGGCTAGGGAGTGGAATGTTGGCCAGAATAACACTTTTGGCCCTTGAGTGGTTGTGAGTGGATTATCATTTTTCTCTCTGACCTGAACAATAAGTGAAACTGCAGTGTTGTTATGTCTACATGTCATTTTACTAGATTTAAATGATGATTCAAAATCTAGAAATTTCTAAAATCTAATTGCCAAAGTCTCGGCAGTGCTGAATCTTAGACTTTGTATTTACTTTAAATTAAATGTATCAAACTGTATACTGTGTGAGGTATTTATTTGTAAATGAACGTATGTTTTTCTTCCTATATGTTTAGCTTATGTTAATTCAGATTTGTTTATTTATTTTGCAGATGATGATTGTGTTAAAGATATGAATGTTAAAAGTGATTCTGTTCTGCCTGATGTTATTTTATCCACCCACCCTCAATATAATGGAATTGATGTGCCAGAATGCTCACAGGAAAACTTCTGCATGAATATTCCTTCAACAAATTCATCTTCTGTTGACAGTTCTTCCATGATCTGCAGTCTTTCTGATAGTTTAAATGATCGTTATTGTGTTACTAAAACTGATGAAGCAGTGCTTAATGATAATTTTAATAATGTTCAAGGCCTAGAAAATTCTAGAATTCCCAAAGACTTCTTTATCAATAGTGACTTTATGAAAGATAAAAATATACAATTATTGTTGCAGAATGTAACCACAACCACAGAATCATCAATATCTGACTGTACAAGTACAAATGCTACTGTAACAGATGGCAAAAGCTGTAAACCTTCTGAATTACCTGAAGATCTCTTAGGCTCAAATGTCAGTTTAAAAGACTTTAATGTACATTATGAAGCTATGATTGGGAGAAAGAGTGATAGTAATAAAAATTATATTATTCAACAAGTACCTGATCAAGAAAATTTAAAAGGAAATAGTGACAAATCTAATGCATTTAGGTGCACTATGACTAGCTCAAATAATACTTCCGGTAAAATATCCTTAAAAGCTCATTTAGTCATAAATAGTTCAGTTAGTAATGATTTTACTCAGAGTAAGCAATTTTTACATGACTCTGATAATTGTAAATTAACTAATGTAAATGAAAACTCTAATTCAGGACTCATTCAGTCAGGAATTCTTGCAGATAATGTTTCAAGCTTTCAAGCTATTTTACCAATAGAAAAAATCTCGCCAGTACTGGAACCTTCCACTTCTGAAGAAAGTCTGACCTCGACAACAACAACTACTGTCATTCCTGTCTCAACTGACCAGAAAACTAGACCAGAAAAAATTCTTCCCGTACTTCTACCAGCTCAAGAAATAACCGGTATGTTAAATAAATGTGAACATATTTTGAAATATGTATGAATTTACTATTTATGATAACTCAGTGTGGTAGATATTTTATATTAATTTCAAAACATATTTTTTATGAACTGTGTATATTTGGTGGGGTTTTTTTTTTTCTGGTTTTCTAATTTTTATTACATTTGATGGATTATTTTTTTTTTTTTTTATCAAAATAAGTAGAGTACTTTTAAAAGTGCCTTTTCTAAATGTAGGAAACTGTGATATCACAGTAGAGATTACTTTAATGAAGGAAATATACTTTCTGATTATCTGCAACTCCATGAAAAGCTGCCACCTTATTGGCAACTCTAACAAAATTGCATTGTTTCTCTATTTCGATGCCTCAAAAGTATTGCTCAGTGCAAAAATAATAATAATAAAAAAAGTTCTTTTAATTAAAGAATAAGGAATTGTATTAGAAAAAAAAGAAATCTGTATGTCCAATATTTACACTTTCACTGCCAGGGATACTCTTCAGGGAAATGACAGTTAATATAAAACATATAAATTCGTGTATATTCAAACACTTGGCATATATGCCAACATTATGACACATGCCAACATTACTACACATTGTTGCATTTTTTTTTTTTTTTTTTTGATACCAGTTTGTATATTATTTTCTTCCTTCACATTCGTACGGGGTTCGTGTGAATTTGGAGTGAATAACGATGACAGCACTTGATGGAATGTCGAAACACAATTTATTTAGCCAGTACTAATCAGGATAGCTCCAAAATCATGTTACAGTCGTTGAAGAACTACTATAAACATGGCGACACAATCAGTAACACAGCCTTTAGAGGTTATCAGGCTATAACAGTGGAGACAGCTTCATTGCAAAGCACCAGAGTACAGCTCCCGACTCTCCTCGGTTGTTCTCGGAACTCCACGTACTCTCGAGTCTCTCCACGCTACAACTTGTGATGCACTCGACGACACACAGAGCACAACTCCCGACTTTTTGGTTCAATTGTTCCTGGAGCTTAACACGATATACGAAGATACTCTTTTGATGCACTCAACGACCCATTCGGCACTCGCTGGCCAGCTGTCAACTCGATCAACTCCGCACGAACTAACTAGATTAGACTGACTATCTTGCACTCTAGACGAGGCACACACTAACTAATTGTGGACCTGCAGGGTTTATATAGCTTTCGGCTTGTGTTCGAGAACATTCTGGGCTAAACCGGTAAGAATTCGTTCCAGAAGGTTCTCCATCTGTCCATGGTCGATTTCAGGCCAAATATGGCAACCCTGCCTTCCTTGCTATTTTATGGCAACCCTAAAACTGGTTTACAAGGAAGCCATCTTACCATGCCTGTACATTTAGAAACAATACTACATGCCAACATGGGTATATAACCATGTTTCCTGACATGGGGCCCACGCCCCCAAGGGGGCAATACTACAGTTAAGGGGGGTAATTCGAAAATGGACTCGTCCAGAGTTGAAGGGGACAAAGGACGTTCTATGTTTCATGAAGTCAAATTTTTTCAAAATTTAATTTTTTGTTCCCCAAAATAAAGAAAAATGTAAGTGATATATACATAAAAAAACTTTTTAAGTTGCGGTGCTTTTTAAATATTTTATAAAGAATTCTCGCTGTAGACATGGACATTTAAATGCTTGCATTTAAGTAACTGACACATTATACTTTGACACATTATGCAAAGGCATTTAAATAACTGACACATTATGCTTTCCAAACGCTTCTTGTACATTTCAGCCAACGAATTTGTTTTATTTTTTACTGTAGGAATGGCAACCCGTTTCTTATTCTTTCCTTGAATGGCAACAGTAGCTGCTTTCAGCTTTGTTTATATTGATTTTATATTTATTTCTTTCAGCCCTTAGTGAAATGAGGGGTGCAAGCAAGAAAAAATGTTTGTCGTTATTTGGAGGCATATTTAAAATTTGGTTTCATACTCGGTCCATAAACGGTCAACTTTTGTCCATTTTATGCCAATAATGCCTGACCAACAAATCAATGAAATTAGGTCGTCACATTTGCACATTTGCAGGCAAAACATAATGCTGATATTAATTCAGATTTGAATTATTTTCCCACTTTAAGGAACAATTTTGAAAAAGAGCAATATTAAAGTGTCTATTTACTGCTCATAATGCAACTGTTAATCGTGCTCTTGAGGCTATTTATCTAATTTCATTACTCATCGCTTAATCTGGGAAAAGCCGTACTATAGGGGAAAATTTAATCAAACCCTCAATATCAGCTTTTAAAACTGTTCTTGAAAAAGATGCCACTAAATAATAATACTGTTTGCAGAAGAAAGATTAAATGAGTGAAGATATTGCAATACAACTTGTTGAAAAGCTGAAAACAAGAAAATTTTCGGTGCAAATGGATGAACCAACTTTGAGAGACAGTGAGGCCATACTTGTAACTTGTATAAGATATATTCATAAAGGGGATTTTGCCATAGAAATGTTCTGTAATCATTAGAAAGCACCACTACCTCCAAAGATATTTATAGTAAGCTAAAAAATTGCTTAGATATAAAAAACATACCAATAAACTTGTACCATACTTGTAACTTGTATAAGATATATTCATAAAGGGGATTTTGCCGTAGAAATGTTCTGTAATCATTAGAAAGCACCACTACCTCCAAAGATATTTATAGTAAGCTAAAAAATTGCTTAGATATAAAAACATACCAATAAAAAATCTAATACATCTTGTACTGCAGATGGTGCTCCTAACATGATGGTTGAAAAATAAAATAAAGCACGGAATAAGAAAAAGGTTTGCTTAAAAGTGATAAAAGATGAGAATCCAGAAATGCTTCTTGTGCATTGTGTTATTCATAGAGAAAACCTGGAAGCTAAAAACAATTTGCCTGTTCTAAATGAAGTACTAAATTCAGTTATAAAGTGTATCAATGCTACTAAAGCTAGGGCCAAATGTGAACGTCTTTTCAAGTTATTTTATGAAGAACAAAATGAAGACTATATGGGACTTGTACTTCACTCTGAAGTAAGAAGGCTGCCGAAAGGGAACTGCTTGGAAGATTTATGGAACTATTTAACTCTTAGTTATTTTTTAAGCGACAAACCTGAAATGAAAAATCTGTTAACAGATAACAAGGCAATTGTGAGTTATTTAGCCGATATCTTTGAAAAATTAAATATATTAATTAAAAAACTTCAAGGAGCAAATAAAACTTATGATGCAAAAGGAAGATATTTGGTTTCATTATCTTTGTTGAATTATGTCAGGCATATACCACAAAAATTTTGAAAAGTCTCATCGGCTGAAAAAATGTGACGTAACTACCACTATATTTTTTATTGGTACCGCTATACTTGTTATTGTCGATCATCTGAAAATTTTATCGGCTGATTTAAAAGATGTTGTAACTTAAAACAAATTGATTTTCCAACTTGGATGATGCAGCCAATGCTTGTGGATTTGGCTGATATTTCAAATATGCAGTAAAAGGAACTCGCAGAAATGCGAAATGATGAATCAATTAAAATTTTATTTAATATAAAAGGAGCAATGACACAACTTTGAAAAAAAAAAAAAAAAAAAAAAAAAAAAAAAAAAAAAAAAAAAAAAAAAAAAAAAAAAAAAAAGAACTGAAACCAGAATCGGATATCCAAATGCAACAAAATTTGCAAGAGAACTATTGTTACCATTTCCATCTTCATATTTTGCTGAATGCGGATTTAGTGCCATAAATGATTTGCTGCTTAAAAAAAAAAAAAAAATAAAGAAAGAAATCAGTTGGATATAAATGAAACCAGGAGACTTGAGACTCAAGTTATCTAAATTGAAATCTTACATAGAATTTCTTTGCAGCAAGTATCAAGCACAAAGAACTCGCTAAATTTAAATAATAAAAATTGATAATACTTAAAATTAAAAACTTTCACTAAAATGAGTTTTTTCTTGAATATGAGTTCTCCATGTTTTGAAAGTTCACTTACTGTGTTTGCTCATAAAATTTCATAGTCATTTCTTCCTAAAAGCTATCATTAAAGTTTCTTTCATGAAAATTTCAATTTTTAAATATTAAAAATTATGTATATATGCTAGGGGATGAGCTTAAAAAATTTAGAGAGGATTAGGGGGGCATAGCACGAAAAAGGTTGGGAAACACTGGTATATAGCCAAAAATATGCCAAGAACATAGTTGTTCTATCAAATGTTGAAGCTAGGGTTTGGATAATCAGAAGGTACTGGAGAAAATGTGGTACTTGTCTTCTGTAGCAGCTTTGGTGAGAAAGTAAATTTGGCATGTTTTTGCATTAGTGAGAAACAGTCGGTTACCAATCTGCATGTGAGCAAGAAACAAACAGTTAAAATAATCGAACCGTTTTTTGTTATTTTATTGTATTGATATAATGAGTTTTCATGCTAAATTATTCATTGTGCTGACTATTTTTAATCTTCCATTGATGGGAAAAGAAGCTGTAGTTGTAATTTCAGGCATTATTATCAGCAATTGCTGAACTGTGGCCACAAGAAAGCATCTGTAAAAAATGAATTTTCTAGGCATGTTTTTCTTAATAAATAGCTTATAAAATAATATTAAATAAATAATAAATAGAATTTTCCAGTATACTTACGTCTTTTCTTTTTTAAAAAATAAATTGCATTAATTACAAATTGTTTTAAATAAAATAATAACATTTCCTGGCATATTTAATAATAAATGGAATTTTCTGGCATGTTTTTTGTGTTGTTTGGAATCTGATTAATGGCTAGACACCCAAGTATTTTAAAACAGTTACTTACAGAATTGTATTAAATACAATAATTAATGTGTATATATATTTAATAAATTGTGTTGAATTTTTTTCTTTTACTTTAAATAAATTGCTCACAAAATTCTATTAAAAGCTATAATAAATAGAAATTTATATTAAATTGCATATACTTGTGTATATTAAATAATTTGTGTTGTATAGATATTGAATGAATTGCCAGTTTGTTTTTATAGT